GAAGAGCATAATGCTTTTTCTGTCCCCAGCCATGTGAGCTTCCCACTGACACATTCTCTGCATCTTCACATTTGGAGGTTAATTGCTTGATTCTTTCTTCTCCTTCTTCAGATTCTCACCGATTCGGAAACCGAGTCACCGAGTTTAAACGATTTAATCCATCCCCGGAGTATCGACGGAGTGGATGGCTTCATCGTCATCTCGAACGAGGAGCCGATCTCCATTCTCGCACCGGAGACCTCCGAGCCCTTACTCTTCGGCTTCTTCGACTTGTTCATCTCATATCAACAACCGTCTATTACCTCGCTCTTGTTCCACATCTGCTTCCACGATTTACAACTCCGGCGGCGTAAGCGGCTCTCGATCTATGACGACCATTTCCAATCCCGGTCCAAACGGTGGCTCCGGGAATTATGGAGCGCAATCGCCTGTCCCTTACCCATCGGAGGGGCTGATTGACGAGTCTGTGCCGACTGAGCGAGATAGCATCTCCGTCACCGTTCGGTTTCGTCCGATGAGGTACGGTAGATCTGGCGCGGATTAGCAGATCTATTGGATACAATTTCACCATTGTTCTGCTTTACAAGTTTGGGATTGATGGAATGTGAATTGCAACTCGGTCAATTTTCAGTAGGATTTTAAGAATCTCCGCCATTATTTTGTTTGATTTCAGTGAGAGGGAGTATCAAAGAGGAGATGAAATTGCTTGGTATCCTGACGCAGATAAGATGGTCAGGAATGAATACAATCCCCTAACAGCTTACGCATTCGGTATGACATCAATTTACTGTTCATTGATTACAATTCTGGTTGCCTCCGTTGGTTCGATAATTCAAATATGTTGATGCCAGATAGAGTTTTTGGACCACAAGCAACAACTATAGAGGTCTATGACGTAGCTGCAAAACCTGTAGTCAAGGCGGCAATGGAAGGTGTTAATGGTAAGGAGTATAGCTGCGTTATAAAATTAAACCAGGCTTGTGTTTGTCATCGAAATACCTTTAGCCCAATTCAGTTTTAGTAGCATTGCTACAGGGAAGTTTCTGACATTGTGTTGGCAATTGACAGGAACCGTTTTTGCTTATGGTGTTACAAGCAGTGGAAAGACACATACAATGCATGTAAGTTTCTTGGCGTGGTTTGTGTTCTATATGATTTTTCTCGAAATATATGTGCTCTAAAGCGGCACTTCTTTGGGAAAGACTTGGTTGTTCTGGTTCAATAAAACAACGTTTACTGTATTACAAAAGATATCATACAAAGACCCAGTGAGTTAGATTATAGTTGCTGATAGATGTTTGATTGCAATGCTTGTGTCAATAAGAACTAGAGAAGATCTTGATTTTTTTTTTTGTTCCAAAGAGAATATCTTCATTAAGATTGACCAAGATTATCACTTAATTATATACATCGTGGATTTCTGTCACACAATCAGATGGTCATACATATCAAAAAGGTTCATATATGACCATTGCTTCATCTGCAATATGCACAGGGTGATCAAGATTTTCCCGGAATCATACCATTAGCAATTAAAGACGTGTTCAGCATCATCCAGGAAGTAAGCGATCTTGTTCTACTTATAACCTATATGGTCCTTTACTGATTTACAGTTCTCTATGCACCTTTTCCATACAATGTCATATTTGCTACTTTCTTACATCATTCTTATCTCAGACTAACGGAAGAGAATACCTGCTCCGTGTTTCATATCTTGAAATATACAATGAGGTATGTTAAAATTTTCATCCATGACATATCTGGACACTGTAATCAGACACAGTTCCCATTCTCCTCACTTAGAAAAAAATCTCCCCTTAATTTAGTAACGTGTGTGGTAACTCATCATGTCTTTGGTTTTAGACAAACGTGCTTATAAGGTATCTGTCTGTAACTTATCTTTCTTTTGTTCTTGTATCAGGTGATAAATGATTTACTGAATCCAACAGGACAAAATTTACGTATTAGAGAGGATTCTCAGGTTTCGACATTG